TCTGGGATTCTGTGATTCTGTGATTTTCTATGTATTGAAAAACACTGAGTATAGACCGCACGTTGTTATCTGCTCTGAAAAGTAAATACTGCCCAAATTCAAGGGAAACATTTATCCCAGTTGCAGAAGGAGCATAAATCAGGTAAGGCAAGGCCCCCTTCCCACACATATACCATGTCTGTATATGAGACTTTACATTATCACACAGCTACATGACACAGTTAGACCTTGTGGAGGAAGGACTGAGTGTATTTATGCTGAAAACATTTCCAGGAGTGAAATGACTGAGGAATTCTCAACCCATTAAGGACGTTTTCCAGAATAAAACCCATGCCCATGAGCACATGTACAGTAATGACGATAATGCTGCAGAAAACTTGGGGATGGGGCGTAACGGCTATAACGCAGTCATTAGCAATGAAATAGTTCACAACACTGTCACCAGTTTTCAGCTCTGAAAACAAATGAGTTGGGAAAAAAAGGCTGAAATAATCATGTTGAAACATTAAGACCTAAGAAATTATGTGAGAAACTCAAGTTTCTTCACCCCTGTTGAGAAAGGCTTGAGGATCTGTGTACACTTCAAGGTGTGCGTGGAAAAATCCCTCATGAAAAGTGAAACTTCTTTTGAAATTCCCACCATTTTCAATCTAAGTCCATACTTGAATGATATTATCTCTTGAAGATGTTATTTCAGACTGGAGCTGTCTGCCCAGGAAAATAGGACTCATTCCACTGAACCAGAAAGCATCCCATGCTCTTAAATATGAATTAGGACTTCCAAAAAGGAAGGGAGGTGGGTTTTTTAGAGATTTTCTGGGCCTTGTCAGTCACAAGACACCAAAGATGGATTCCTGTTAAATTTTGACTAGAAGCAAAGCTCCTGTTTCACTAAATACGCCCTCGTAAGGTCTTGCTTACAGTCAGTCAGTGAGATCAACCCATCATTTTGAGTCAGGAGAGAGGTGTCAGCAAAAGCAGAGCAATATTCTCGTGTCCTGAGGTTGTCCCCAGCGTCACTGGGGCACCTCAGGGATCAGGCAGGAACTGCACAGCACAGCACAGCACGACGAAAAGCAGCGTGTGATCACATAAATGCTGTATCACGAAGCACAGCAGCAGTGCGCCACCCAACCTTTGCCATCTCGTGTCACTCGAGGCCAGGAGCACTTCATTAACGTTGCTTTTTCCCCAGCGGCTATATATAAATATAATATATACGTGCAAACTCGGGCCCAGAAAGGCCAACTGGAAAACATTAAACTGTGCTTTCCAGAACACAAGTACACCCAGGAAATGCTCCATTGCTTGCCTGCCACAGATTATTGATGGCATCTGGCAAAAGCTGTATATCCGATATATTTCCAAAGTCCCAAGGGAGGAAGAAAAATGCTTTAGCAGATAAAAGAATGCAGCTTCTGTCTGTTGACTCAGTGAAGAGCACGTAAGAACAGTAAAGCAAAATGCCTTAAATTCATGGTAGTAAAGAAATTATCTTGGGAAAGCTTAACAAATAGGATCATCTTTATTTTTGTGAAATAGTTCATGAACCACGTCTTGGGTTTCTGATCCATGTATCAAAACCTTAATAGGCTGTCTCTAGAGTATGGACTTCTGGAATTAAAAATACAGGCAAACAGCAAAAAGGGTCACAGATCTGAAACTCCGGTCCAATTTTTAATGTAGAAAATTCTGCCTAAGATGCCAGAGGTAGAATACAGAACAGAAGAAAAGGGAAATGAATCCCTCTGAATTCCCCGGATGACAGGTCAGGGGAGGTGGGTTTTGAACAACTCAGGTCTCCACCTGCAGACTCTGTGTGAGAACCTCTCACTGAACTGCAGAGCTGGGCTTCTAGTTCTGATTTAATCATTTAATTGCACTCTCCAAAGAAAAAAAGGTTTTGGTATAATCCAGCCACTGTGTAACGTAATAAACTTGTTCCTGTGACACACTTGTTCTCCACGGTGTGCCACAAACCTGCAACCCCCACGCAGCCCAAAGTTCTGCAGGCTTCAAGGTAAAACGGGCCTTTATGATTCAACCAGCAGGTCCAGGGAGGTGATCATCCCCTGTACTCGGCACTGGTGAGGCCGCACCTCGAGTGCTGTGTTCAGTTCTGGGCCCCTCACTAGAAGAAGGATGTTGAGATTCTGGAGCGTGTTCAGAGAAGAGCCACAAGGATGGGGAGGGCTCTGGAGAACAAGCCTGATGAGGAGCGGCTGAGGGAACTGGGCTTGTTCAGCCTGGAGAAGAGAAGGCTGAGGGGAGACCTCATCACCACCTACAACTGCCTCAAGGGAGCTTGTAGAGAGGTGGGTGCTGGGCTCTTCTCCCAGGTGATGGGGGATAGAACAAGGGGAAATGGCACCAAGCTGTGCCAAGGGAGGTTCAGGTTAGAGCTAAGGAGGAAGTTCTTTACTGAGAGGGTCGTCAGAAGCTGGCACAGGCTGCCCAGGGAGGTGGTGGAGTCACCATCCCTGGATGTGTTTAAAGAGCGGGTAGATGAGGTACTTAGGGATATGGTTTAGGGGGTAGACAGGAACGGTTGGACGTGATGATCTCAGAGGGCTTTTCCAACCGAGCCATTCTGTGATTCTGTGATTCTGTGAACCATGGCTGATGTTTAAATTACACCCAGGAGGAGAGCAGTAGTACAGACCACTCTGACGCAGCGCCCCTGAAGTCACCCTGGGCTGACGCCGCTGTCACAGCCACCAGTGTGACTCAGTTCCTCTCTGGGCAGGTGAAAGATGCTCATTAACACAGTATTTAGTGGTTACAGCGACAAATCAGACGTCACACAGGAAAGCTCTGCTTTACACAGGAGAGCGAAAAGCAGAACCATTCCTGAAGAGGCTCCCAGCAGCTCCACATTGTGGACAAATGGCAAATCTAAATTCTTATCTTGCTTTCTTACTGGTATTTCTCATGCTGGTATCTCTATTAAGTTTTGTGCTAGCAACTTAACACAGAGGGTCTGTGTGAAACCCAGGCTGTAGTCCACACTGGTTTTAACTCAAGGGTGTGTTATGGTAGCAATGAGATCTTGTGTCACTGCTACTGCTGCGGATATCATTTGTTTGTGAGTGGCTGTTCTAGCCTTAATCTGATCATGGCAGCTTGCAAAATATGTACACATACAACCCTAACGGAAAACACGATACATCATCCACATCTTAGTTGTTTTGCAATGGGAAAATAAAAAAACCATGTACATGATACGCGACAATAGAATTGTAAGAGTCCGTGGATATTCTGTTGTTAAAAAATCCAAGTTTTCTGTCTCTCCTTGTTTATCTTAAAATCACTATAGAAAATGAGGACACTGTTTTCCAGGCTGTCCCTAAAAGAGTCGATGAACAGCCTGAGATCTTCATCTTTACGATATTAGATAAGAAAAGTTAAAGCCATTTACGAAAGGAAAGCAGCACAACACAAAAGCTTGGCTGCTGATTCAGCATCAACATTTACCAACTCCATAAAGAACTTCTGCTTACTTTAAAGCAGCTACAAAGTAAGGGATAGAGAAGGCTTAAAAGAGTTCAGAGAAATGCAAGGATAGGTAACAGGGGAAATAAAACCCAACACAGCTTGTCCGGGGTGTTCTCAAAATGCACATTGCAGCTCTAGAGTAACTGCTAAAATGCATTAATAATTCAAACTGCATGCACTGGCCTAAAAGCTCACTTCTCCAAGAAGAGTTCCCAAACTCCATCCAGTTTTCATTTAGTTTTCAAACAAATGGCAAAGCCTGGCATTAAAGGAAACCTTGAGCCACAAGAGATGGTGCGTGGAAGGGGACTCTGAACCCGGCTCTGATGCTTCTCACGTCTCACACCTTCATGACAGCAAAATAATCCTGAATTTCCCCCAGCTCGGCAAGGCAGCGCCTTGTCCTGACACGACACGTCCCTTCCTTTCATGTAAATGCTTTCCACCCCAAGGCTCCGGCTCCCTGGGGGATCCCTGCCCATTCGCTGCTCCTACAATCACTGTCGGACAGCCATACACAGAATTATTAAATAATTCACCAGCATTTCCAAGTAGATTGCTGGGCTCATGCTGTAAAAATAGCAGAAGTTGTTTTGGGTTTCTGATCTACTTCAAGCTGGTAAACAGGAACTTGCTCCAAGATTTTAAAGCCTGAATGTTTCGACACGTCACACTCGCAATAAACAAGGTTAACACTCAGGCACCATAAAGATCAATTATACACTGGATTTAAAGGTAACTCCTACGAATTTTTGTTATGTTTTGTTATAAACCAGAGAATATCAAGTGAATTTTTCCAGGCCATTTGCTTCAGAATGATCTTCATAAGTTTCATCAGTTTTCCAATAGAACAGGATGAATTTTAAGGATTCTGAGCGTACCCAAAGTACACGGCACTAAATATGTTTATTCCCATCTTGTCAGAATACTGGATTTGTGGGGATCTATTAAGCAACAGTCTTCCCTCTAAACTATTACTGAGATAATTCAGAGTGTGATGGTGCCAAAAGCTCCCTCTGTATCGGAGGCGTCAGCTCCAACCGCAGCTCACAAACCAATCCCTGATCGTCCAGAAAAGCAGCTGATGGGGCTTTACACGTATGTCCACAGACCTAAACAAGCTTTCCCAGGAAAACAGCAACCTGGATTCGCAGGTTCTGATGACAAAGTAGCCAGAATGGGAACTCAGAGGAAATAAAAATAAGCAATTGCTACTTTTGGGATCCTCAGTGGACATCAAAGAGGTTTTGGTGTGGACACCAGAGCCCTGCCCGCAGGACGTGGAAGCAGAAGCCCCCATCTTCTGCTCATACATCATGGCAAGGGATAAAATAACACCACCATCAAAGACTACAAATATGTCCAAATGCCTTCCAGACACTGTAACAGTCCGTGTGGGTGAGAATACGTGCCTCTGTGTACGCTTCCCCTCCTAAAACCAACAACCCCTCTGAATGCAGAGCCTTGGGAAAGTTTAGGTTCACAGGAAATCTTCTGTGCAGATCTCCCTGTTTCGAGTAAAACAAACAACAAAACTTGGGCCCCAGCTTAGCAGATCCAGAAACATCCTCCCTGACACTCGTGCACAGACTGCATTAAGAATCCCATCCCAGCAAGGGATCTCAAAGCCAAGGCAGTCAGGAACACAAATTTTGCAAGATCGGGCTATATCCCACCCGTGCTTCTTCACCAGGAAATGAATGAAAACATTTATAACTGCAGGACAGAGGTACACACACACCACTGCAAGGCTAAGCTAATAAATCGACACTTCACAAACCTGTAGCCTAACCTGCTACCCCTGAGCTGCCAGCTCTGCCATCAAACCTCTGAATTCAGGCACATAGGCACAAACTAAACACACTCCCCTTTTTGTAAGCAGGGACAGCAAACACAAAATGTAAATGTCCCCAGTGATGTGTGGTTTGACAGCCAATACATCCACGGGCACGGCAAACCTCCACTGGAGAGTGAAAACACAGCCCTGCTGCTGTAAATCTCAGGGATCGTATTAACACGATGAAGTTTGTTAGTTATTAAAATCACACCAGCCTGGCACGCCTGAAGATCTATGAGTACAATATTATGCTGTATCTGAACACTCCTCCTGTTAACAGTACGGCTCGCTATATACAAAAACAGAAGGAGTTTAATCCTCTTTCAAACTACAGAACACTAGTGAAATAGGGATTATTTTTCTGGAGCCCGTGGATTCTTTTCAAATGTTTAATATATTTTAATTATACATATAATACATCTTTCTGCTTTTTTCAGGTCATTAAACCACAGGGAAGAAAAATTTTCCAACACAACTCTGTTCCAGTTCCTAATTAAAACAATTTTATATGTTTCTGTGACACGCTGCTAAAGATGATTTATGACGGTGGCAAACAGCAGGAGGTCAACGCCAAAGTTAACAGCTGGGCTTAGTGCAGCCGCTTTCAAGATTTATCATGCCATCAAACAGCCACTATGCACCAATAACGGCTCAAAATGCACAAACAAGCTTGTGGTCTTTTCAGTGTTAAATGCAGGGGAAGGAAAAAGAAGCTGGATTGCTGCAGGAGGTCACCATTTCCAAATGGAGTGGCACAAGTCCTAGGGGCAAAGAAGAGCCCAGCATGCAGAGATTGCCCCGTGCTCTGCACGTGAGTACACGGTGCCTATCTCGAGATAGTCAAGACTGAGAAAATGCTCATCCAAATCCGCACAGCCATCTTTCTCCTATTAATGAGACGGAGAAAAAAACACACGAAGCGGGGAAGGCTCCAAATCCTCTCACAAAGGCAAAAGGAGAATTACAAAAGCAGAAATACCTGTTCAACTGAAAATGTGTAAATTATCCATTTCAGTAACTGTCAGTCAGAAGGAGAAAGGTGAGAGCAAAGCGTTTCATGTGCTTTACCCACACACGTTTCACTCTGACACCTCCAAACGCACACAAGCACCCACTCCTCGACAGACAGGATCCCTTCAGGGGATCGCAAACGGCTCCAGCAAAGCCATGAGCACAAGGGCAGCAGCAGGACCTGCTTCACCTTGAACTGTATCTTGCCCACTTTTTGAGCAGGCTTTATTAACTTTAATAACAATTTACACGAATCCCACCCATTAAAGCTGTTGGCTTTCTCTACAGCAAACAACTGTAGAACAAGTAGTAAATGTACAACAGCCGAGCCATGTGCAACAGGCAGTAAATGTGCAACAGGCAGTAAATGTGCGAGCAGCAACAGCAAGGTTTCGTGGAGAGGTGCTCTCCATAACTGGAGTTACCCTTCACAGCCCACGCTGGACCTCTCCCCATTTCCCTGGAATTTCGCAGGTGTGATCTTGTGCCAGGGATGCGTTTTTCTGAGGAGTTGGATGCAAGACCAGGAAACAGAAGAATCCAAAAACTGAGGTGAACTTACTCGAATATTTTCCTAACTTTTTTTTGCCATTGAGAAGCTTGGCCTCGAGACTCCGAATTTTAAAAATCTGTTGATCTTGGCAGAAGATTGTGCCAATTTTCAGGGAGCAGCGGCTGGAATTATTAAGTTAATAGAAGCAGTTTCCACCTACGCTATGAACGTCGTTGTTTTTATATACCCACGTCCTTAGAGCAGCCCTTGCAACATCTCCCCTTACCACTTCAGAAGGCAACAGTAAAGAGACCGCACTGAAAAGACGGGGAAGGGGAGGGGAAGGCCTTGGTCTAATATCAGAATATGGCAAAGTGGTTTTGAGAGGGAGATTAACAGCACCCAGAGATGAAGGCCAAGAAGGAGCACCACTCATATGCAGTAGGGGTGTGCACGTCATAACCGCTCGTATATTCAAAAAACCACAGAACCCAGCAAAATCGTCTTTCATAGCACCAATAGACAGCCAAACTCCAGCCAGTTTTTGTGATTTTTCCTGTAATTTCCCTCTTTTAAAAGGGACTGGGGCAAGGCGACTGCTGGTTTACATTTTGCTTTTTAAAACAAATAGTTTTGCCTTTCAAACACTTCACAAATGAGTGGAATAAATGAAGACATCACAGCCTGCAGCTGCTCATGACTGCCAAGATACTGAGAATTACCATGCCCACAGAAGAGCTGGGGGAATGAACAAGCCCTCCTACACTGAGCTTCAAGTAAAATCACCGATGGCAGGAGATTTGAGCTAAGCTGTCCCACTTCACTCAGACACGGATCAGGAAGCAACCCTTCATTCCCATCTTTTCTAGCTGGTCTATGTAGAGGACTGCTTTCACCTGTGGCAGGAACATCCTGACCTACCCCACTGCACTCCCAGGATGGCATCTGGTCAGGCTTTCCCATTTTTATTCCCTTCGCAGTCCACTTCAAGAAGAAATAAATACTGTATAATTAACAGAGACACCCTCACAACCACGCTCCCTTCCCTGGAATATTATTAAATAAAAGAAAGAAGGGCAAACCAAAAAGAAGATGACCCCAAAAAATATCTCCTTGACAGGCTTCGCTGACAAAAGGCACAGGACAAACTGAACTGCTCTTTGCAACGCTTCTACCTCTTAAGACCGGGCAGGAAAATGCAATTAGAGGCGCAAACCACAGCCACCACTGAAATGCAGCCTCAATCAGCAAACAAGAGCTGGGAACAGGAATTCTTGGCAGCTGCTGCTTCCACGGGAGGAAGTGATTCTGCTTCAAACACTTCCTTTAGCGCCGATAACGCGCTCCTGCCACTTGCGATGCCAAGGCTTAGCAGATAAGGAAGGATCGGCCGTGCCCTAATCCAGTCCATTCTGACAGGGGGTTATTTTTAGAAGGCAGAGACAGAGACGTGCTGCTCAGAGGGGTAAATCTGTGTCAAACGCATGATTGCCGGAGTGATACGAGTGCGCATTACAGCACTCGCTGTCCTTTACCAATGGGTTTTTCAGGGAGCAAAGAATACTATCTGGGAAGCACGGAGCCGATCAGCTCTCCATATTCCATTACTAAAACCTACTCGACTAGAGATAATTTCTTAATTCTTTCAAGTGAAGAACAAAGTCTTTCTTTCTGGCAGGAAGGAAAGACATTGATGTAACGCCGAATCGCTATTTCTCCTGTTTGTATTAACGACACATGGCACTGAGTAAAGTGAAATCACACTTGCACCGTGCGAGGGGAGGGAAATCACCTCACTTTTGGATAACTTAGCGATCCAGGGGTTTTGTTGAAATGCTTCAATTCAGTCAATGATGTAGCCTTAAAAAAGAAATGCAGCACTAAAAGTAAGGTATTTCAGCAAAATACCAGCGAATTTCTGGCACTGATGTAACCTGTAAAGCTCATGCTATAACCACAGCTTTGACACCAGTGCCTTTGCCTGGTAAACCGGCAATTTCCTGTCGGTGCAACACGTGTCCTGTTGGCCAGACCAGATAAGGTTTAAATACGTCGCTGCTGAAAGCAGTACAGTAGATTTCTGAAGAGAAAAGCATCCCAAGTGCACCTTGCTTTGTTAGCACGGTGCTAGGATAAGATGAGAACAAATCCGTTTTTCTACACCTCAGAAAGTTAATTTAAAATGATCTCATGAGGTGAAACGCCAAGATATTAATACTGATTGCACCATGAGACCATATTCTAAGTGACATGAACGTTACAAAACAATCTGAAATTTGGCCAGGCTGTTAATAGACAGCGTTACACAATTCCTGACACAGCCAGATAATACTGCATTGCTGCGATGCAAATTTCTAACAGTGAATAGATTTTGAAAGGAGTTTACACCCACTGCTCCTCAGAAGTAACTCGCTAATTCACTATTAGGTGCCAAGCTGTCATTTCCAAATCACTGCAGCCTACTGCTATTCTCTGGTCTACCTTGGTACCACAAAGGAGCCACCAATGAATGCCATGATTAAAATGTATGAGCCCTATACAAACCTATTTTTAAGTCTGTAAACTGATACTGCTGTTGTATTAATAGCTTTCATTTATTTTGCCATTAATACTGGTCTTCTACTAAGCAAATATTGTCATGCCCTACCCTTCTGTATTTCAGGAGCAAAGCTCCTCTCTCTGCCCTGTATATCGCGCTGAAGATTTCTGAATGAAGGAAAGGAAAACTCCGGACCGCACAATGCAAAAATAATGTGGTTGTGTACAGAAAGCTGCTCGACATCTACTCCAACAGGAGACCTCGCTCTGAAATGACTGAAAAATCAGCGGTGTCAACTCAGAAAATCACCAGGAGACAAAAGCCAGGGACACAGATTAGTCACATTATTCCTATACACAGAAACTGCAAATAAAGAACCACAATTTTGCTTCGGAAGACTGAGAAGTGCTCCTGTTCCCATCAGCAGCCCATCGTGGCCCAGAGACCTCCCCAAGCACCGAGCTCTCCGCACTGCTGGCCTCTTCAGCCCAGTATTTGGTCCAATGTGCTCTGCCCTTGTGTCTGCCAACGCACACACGTCCCATGCTCAGGAGAACGGACCTACTTAGAGCCACCAAGTGTGAATAACAGGAGAGACGAGCCCTCGAGAGGACCAAACTCCGTCTCAGTCAGAATTTTACAGAGACAGAAAAAACCAGATGCATAATTCTGCCTGTAAAACTGTCAAGTAGAGAAACATGAAAGGCCATAAATAATTCACTCTGTATTACAGGAAATGTTTTACAAATGAAAAGGTTGTAACCTCTTTTTGGCTACACGGCTGGCAGATGCT